GTAATGCAACCATTAGCTGAATGTACTATCAATAAAATCCTGGGTTGCAAATACTCACCTTAATATTTAAAAAAAAATAAAAATAAAAATAAAAAAATAATCGAATTACAGTTTCACAAAGTATTGGCAATTAGCCAATTATGTGAAATACTTACTTAAAATCATCGAATTCAAGAATTGGATAAACTCAAAAGACTTTATAAATCAATCTCTACAACTACTTTATTAGACTATTCTGAAGGTATATCAGATACTTCTTCAACTGATGAAGAAGATAACTGCTTAGAAATTGAAGATGTTGACAAAGATAATGAAGATATTGCAATATTATAGTTATCAATCTTAAATAAAGATAAATATGATGATTTATTTGATTTAGAATCAACAAATATAAATAAATTATTAGTTAATAAAGAGCATCCAGTAAAAGATTGCAGAGCCAAGTAGCCATTAAACAAATTGTTTTTAGCTGATTTAGAAGCTCTCTTTTTTGTAACCAATATTTAGTAACAAATAACTTTCAAATTAAGAATTTATATATTTTTAAGTCAATATAATATAACATTCTATATGAAAATTGTAATCATTAGTAAAATATTTGTTTTAATAAAACAAATAAAAATAACTTTTTTTATTTCTTTAATGTTTTAAATGCCAAGAAAACTTATAACTAACATTGTATTAAAATACTTTATATATTTATTTGTAGATTTTGATAGTTAGCTTAGGTAAAAAATCTATTTGTATATATGAATTTCAAATGTAGAATGCACTAAACAAGGTAGTTTTTAAAGGTGTTCTCAAGTTTAAACCTCAATGTAATTAGCTCAAAATCTTAATTGTGCACAACTATAATTATATTTACATATAATGAAATAAATAAGCAAATTAAGAAATAATTAGAGTTTGCTCAAACATTATTCTTTATACAATTAGCTAATAAATGTGATGACACTTATTTACTATAATTAATCAAAATAAGAATTGCAATTGATGCTTGAGTGATACACTAATATTTTATCAAATGCTGTTATTACTACATTTATTTCATTGATATTCAGTAGTTACATAATAAGGTTACTGATAAAGTTGCTTGTGCAATCTTTTTAAAAACTCAATTAATTGTAAATTTTGTCAAGCCAGGATAAAAAAAAGGTGGTTTGACATAAAATGTTTATAAATTGAAATAATAAACTCACATATTATCTTTTGATTAATAAAAATATAATAAACTTTATTAAATTACAATGTTTATTTAAATATTCATTATGATGTTAAACACATTTGACCTTTTTAAAATATTTTCTACTAAGTAAAATTTATTTTCTGATACTTTTTGTTCTATTGATTAAGGCACTTGAGAATGCTCCAAGAGTCATAATGAATATAAATATATTCTAATTTAATATATTTCTAAATAAAGCAAACATTCAGTATTAATAAAAAAAGATACAACTTAGCAATATATTTTAATATTTTGTACTATCAATATTACATTTTGAATGTTATTTGATGTTTATATATTATTTATAAAGTGTAATTATTCTGCTAAATGTACTACTGTTATAAATATGAAGATTAGATAAAAAAAAATTTTAATAAGTGATTGGACATATTGAATCTAAACTATGTTTAGGTATATGTTCAATGTTTATGTTCAGTTTAATAGTATTAAAAATAGATAGACATATGTCTAGTGTCAATACTGACTACACTCTTATATAAAAGAATATTAAAACTAGTATTGTATAATATTTTAGTATAAACTTATAATAAAACTGTTGAGTATATAATAATAAAAAACTGAAGAATAAAAATCTATTTGAAAATTTTAAATAAAAAAATAATATAGACTTTTGATAATAATACTAAAGAATAAAAAAGTCTTATAAAAAACTAAATAAAACTAAATAACAAATATATGTAAAAAGGGGTATAATAATCTAATAAAATGGTTAGATTATCAACCTTCCAAATGGTAGGTTGGGTGTTCAAATTCTATCAATAGTGAAAATTTGAATAATTACTTATATAATATTAATATTATAGCAATTGTTACTAATGATTAAGTTAAGATATTTGTAATAGTAGTTGCATTAGCATGACTGACAGGTTATAGAGCATTTGTGTAATGTTGGAGTTATACAGAAAAATATAAACCAACAACTAGATAGTACAAACACTAGATAAGTCTTTGCAGCTATGTAAATTTATTGAAATTAAGTAACAAGAAGTTTATTTGAAGACTTGAGTAAAAAGAAAAACAGATCTTTGATAGTGCTACTATAAAGGCTAGCTCAGAAAAACAAATACCAAGGTTTTAGTAACTAAATAGATATGAACTTTTAGGTTAGAAGTCTCAAAGATATTACCAACTAGGCTGCCAAAATAAATTAAAAAAAAAATATTAGGTCAACTTAAAATACTAATAGACTAATCATAGTCTTATATAGACAATCTGGATTGGAAGTCTGATAAAATTCAGAGGTATACTAAAGTAATAGGATTATGCTATAAAGTAAATGCTAGGGTCTAAGTGAACTCTACAAGAGCATAATAGTTTAATTATTAAGCTCTAATTGCAAGTATTAGTTTTGCTATAGTAATATCTAGATTAGTTATAAAAATAGATACAAAAAGCTTATCTTAAGAATAAAATAATTCTAAGGTTGAAATGACAATTTGGGTATCTGAATATAATGCAGTAAGTTAACACAGATTACAGATTCAAAAAGTTTAAAGTAGAACATCTAAGCAGAGATATTAAATATAGCAATTAATGAAAAATCTTCAGATGGATTCCTTAAATAGGCAATATAGAAAAGTTATACATATAGCTAATTGTATACTCTCCTGCAATAATTCATAAAATCATATTATCAAAAGTTATTAATAAAAGTCAAAAGACAAAGAGATAATCTAAATACTAAAAAAAACAAAAACAAAAGAATATATAACTAACTAGTTTATTAAAATCTATTAAAAAAAAAGAATCTTTAATTATATATACTAATTCTTGATTTCAAAACAAGAAAAAACAATATACAAAATAACAAAAAAACAAACTAGCAAACATCCTTTAGATGACTAACAAAAAAGCTGTATCAGAAAAAAATGCACAAAAAAATTCTGTGCCAGCTTTTGTCGATCATTGTCGATCACCCATCATGTGATAGTACTTGTGATACACAG